CAGAGCCCAAAGATTAAACCCACAGTTTACTATCACATGATATGAAGAAAAGACTTTTGAGAGAATGTCAACAACTCAAGCCATTTCCAAACACGAACAATGGAGAATGTCGAGACTTTCACCGGAGTTTGGTTTTCACATATGAACCACATAGCAAGAGATTCTCTGCTCAGATGCGTCTTTGTTTACAGCTCATCAATACAGGGTTGGCCATTTATCACAACAAGCTCTCTTGACATCCTTGTTCGTTATCTCTGCTTTTTTATATTTGTTTTCTTTAAAAAAAATATTGTTGCTTGTTAGAAACATCATCAAGAAAGCCACTGGCTTGCAGTGAATCCCGCAGAGGATCTCTCTTTTCTCACCTGGACTTATTCTGACTTATCTGGAGATTTAATAGGTGGCACCTACAGCCCCCGGAGCTCAATGCATGTCAGAAAGAGGCTTTAATGATTAATAAATGTCAAAATAGCTACCAATTAACCAGCTTTCCATCAACTAACTGTCCTTGCTGTTTAATATTAAACAGATGCTGTGAGATAAAAAAAAATATATATATGGAAAACATCTCCATAGTGTGAATGTTTTCCTTGAGCATGGATTATTTGGAACAGTGGAACCTTAACTTCCAAATCAGGAAACTCTCAATGAATGTTTCTCTCTGCAACTTGCTGTCTTGCTTTATAGTTTTCACCCGGTATCTATTGCACTTCTGTCCATCCTGGGAGAGGGATCCCTCACACGTGGCTCTCTCTGAGGTTTCTACGTTCTTTTCCCTGTTAAAAGGTTTTATTTGGTAGTTTTCCTTACTCTTGTTGAGGGTTAAGAACAGAGGATGTCCCACCTTCTTAAAGCCCTATGAGACAAGTTGTGATTTGTGAATATGGGCTGTACAAATGAAATGTGATTGATTGATTTATTTCTCTCTCATGTGTTTACTTGTTCATCTTACACATGCAGGACTTCCTGGGCCAGGCTTTCTGTACTCTGGGTGAAATTGTCGGTTCCCTGGGAAGCCGCTTGGAAAAACCTTTGATGTAAGTAGCACATGCACCAACAAACACACACACTGTCTTCTGCTATTCTAATTAGACACTAATAACCGGAAGCAGAGGTGCAAAAGGCTCGTGTGGAATCACTCTAATCAGGTAGCCAGTATATTGAGTTCTACAGAAAAGCTGTTTGGGCTCATGCTCAGATTTTATTTATAGATTTCTGTTCCTTTCAGATGATGAAGATGCTGATGAAAGCGTACGCTGTCTCCATCAGCTAAATGAGACAGATAGTTAAACAGTACCAGGCCAAATGACAGACTGTGAACATGTTGAGGTGGTAAACAGCGTGTAGCGAAAAAGGGACAGTTCCCCCTAAGGGAAGATGTCAGTGTTGAGCGGAGCCCCCAGCTCGTTTTCTGAAGTAACTTAAACTGAACAGAAGCCTCTACACAAGCCTTAAAAATGATCTGGGACAATTCCCTCCCACTAAATATATGATTTTCTCCTCTGTTTCTGATTACGATAACAAAGTAGGAATACCTTCAGAAATTTTACATTTTGCTGCAGTGTGTGTGGCTGGTTTTACTTTCCTCTCCTCCTAATATTTGTGATCACTCGTTTGCAGTGGTGGGGGAACCTTTTTCCTATTGTGGACCATTTCAGTTTTTATGACATCATTTTATGGCCATGCTACTTTAATGCTATCATACAACACAAAACAGAACAGCCTGAACAATGTATTAGTTTGCTGATGATATCAGGCTAAATGAACCTTTCACAGACTAATCAGTATCAGGACATATATCAGTTTATATAAACTGACATATATCCTGATACTGATTAGTACTGATTACATTTACATATACATTTTACAATTCAAGTTTATATTTAGTGAAAATGTATTCAAAGGTTATAGTTAAATTGTACAAATATTACATTTCCTTGTCACAAGGGTTTGATGATGACATTTTAGGAATCATTGCCAAGTTTTTTCTTAACTTCTAAATATTGTTATTCGAAATAATTTACTCCCTAATATCAGTATCTGCAACAGACTCCAATTGATTTGGTCCAGGTTCTAATAAACAAATATACAAAAGACTTGGAAAAAGCTGACTAAAATATATAAAATCAATGAAGCCTTTAAAAGACACATTTAAGAAGAAATAGGTAAATAAATAAGATGCTGCATTGTTAATACACCTTCTCTTAAACCCATGTAAGGAAACGCTCTCCGAAAGAAAAGACACTTCTCTGTTGTGCCTCATTGATAAAGTGGGTTAGAGTGTTTGATATCATCTCAGCTGCACTGTCCTCTAACTCGCAGAGCTGAGCTGCAGCATCTTCTTCAGTGACTGAAAAAAACAATTTGTTGTTACTTTTGTTTCCCTCCTGAGGCAACGAGCCGTCAGAAGTGTGACCCTCGCCTTGTCCCCTGTCCTGCAGTGGTGTCCAGTGTGTGTGTGTCTAAGATTGAAGACAGTGACTGCACTAGGGTCTACATCCATGACCGTCTGTCTGTCTCTGTCAGTGTTTATGTTTGTGAGTGTGTGCTTATGTGTGTGTGTGTGTGTCAATGTCAGTGTGGCAGAATAAATGAACAGTTGCAGCTGAATGGATCTGCTTAAGAATGACACACAAGAAATATGATGTAAGAATGTGTTTCTGTCACTGAGTTATGTAATCACCTCTGCCTCATTCACTGTCAGATCTGTTTGAGTGTGTGTGTGTGTGTGTGTGTGTGTGTGTGTGTGTGTGTGTGTGCATACCTACACTTATATGAAATATTCTTTATTATTTTTTAATGCTTGTTTGTGTCTGAATGTTTGTGCGACTGTATGTGTGGTTTTATTCATTCAGGTGCCTCCAAACACCCTCACCTGCCAAAAACACATCTTAAAGGTCCAGTGTGTAAGATTTAGGTGGAAGGGATCTATTGGCTGATGTTTTTGGACTCACTCTGCTTCCACTCATCCAACTCACTTCTCATCTACGTCTCTGTCCTTCTCCCTCTCTCCTGTGACTTTTTATCGTTGTCTTCTCCTCCCTCTTTCTTGCTGCCATTTGTCCATCTGCCCCCTTACTGAGCAATCTCTCTGCTCGCGCAGCAAATTAATCTCCCTGAATGCTTCCCTGTGCATCATGTCTGAGGTGACAGAGAGAATGGCTGGGGAGTTGGGGGGGGGGGGTTTCACAAGCCTTGCTTGAATTTGCCGTCAGTTTCCCTCCACATGTGTCATCTTAGGCTCTCTGCCATTACTGGACAGTGCATGGCCATATGAAATTATCTCTGCCCTGCCTCGTTCTGAATCTGGCCCCGGGTCCGTGGCATTCTTTTGGTCTATTTTTAGTGGTTGGTCTCCCCTGGCTTTATTGGCTGAATGTTACGCTCCACCAGCTCAGGATGTAAACAAACATTGCAGCTGAAATGTCACTGTGTGTTTCATTATTTTTAAGTTCTGTTTCGAAGGCTTTCATTCAGCAATAATTAACAGTTGTGAGTGTTGAGAATTGAATAGATACTTCGATTATTTTATTTTGCTTTATTCTTTTATCTTGGATTAGGTTAGATTAGATTAGATCTGACTTGTTTCTCATAAAGCCATTTCCTACCTGAATCTAATGGAAATATTCTGTTCTTCTCTTTTTTACTTCAAGTGGGATCCCAGGGAAAAAATGTGGCACCATCATAGTGAGAGCAGAAGAGCTGAGCAACTGCAGGGTGAGAGTTCATCATCTGCTCCCCTGTTGAAGGATTTGAATTAAAACATTCAGAGACCTTTCTCTCCCTCTTTTTGTTTCTTAACTCTTCTGCAGGGATGACTCTGAGCCCTCTACCACTTCACACAGCTGAAAAAAAAAGAATGATTTAACATAAATCTGGTTGTAATAAGGGTAATAAATATATAAAAGAAATATTCTCAAAATGCTTTTTGTAAGTGTACGTACAATTACAAAACCATTTTTATATAAAACACACACAAGTTCCCTCCAGGACTAATAAACACACCAATACAGTCTAACTACCCTGCAATAAATGCTACCCTCGCCCTCTTCACTGTTTATACCTCAACACCAACTGTCCCCTTATAAAACCACATTTCAATTCACTAGATTCAAAGTTGGGTTTGTACCAAAGCGACACACTTACACCCATTACTCTAACCCTAACTCCTATAAATTAAGATCGTTGATCCATGGTTTATTCCTATCTTGCTATGTTAAAGAAAAGGAAAAACAATTCCAGGAAGTATTTAGACAGAAATTTACCCAATGCAATTTGAAAAAGTTATATTGAATGCTCACAGGTGCTTACAGTCAACCAGCAGCATTGTACGAATAATCTATTATTAAATGATGTTTAACATTTTCATAAAGGCTTTTTTGTCTCAGGATGTTGTAGGCACCCTGTATTAACCAGCCATCACTGTTTGTTAGTAACTAGTATTGTGTCCAGTTTACAGAGAAGAAGATTTTACTTTTACACTTTTTATACAAGTAAACAAGAGTGGACTTCTGTTCAAGACTGTTGGACACTGTACTTATATCTTCAATTGAACTTTGTGCTGAGCAAGACTGTGACTTTAAAACCTTCTTTCTCTCTAAGTTAAGAAAAAACTTGAAGAAAAACACAATCAGAAAAATAGCTTGTGTTTCAAATGACTTTTGTTGTTTGGTGGTGTTTGTGTGTCTTCACAAGATATTTCTTCTGAGTGTGAGAACAGAGTGTTTTTTCTGAGGTCAAACCATCAAACAGAAAATATTTATTCATTTATTACAACATATTTAGTTTTGTCATTCCTTCAAAGTCAAAGAACAAATGTTGCGACGTGTCATTTTGCTTCAAAACCGCTGTAAAAGAGGTTGAAATGCCCATTTCTTTTCTGGAAGTGGACAATATACCAGAATGTTTTACAACCATCACAGAATTTGACCAATTTGATTTTGTTCCTCTTCCAGTTTTGTTCTTTCCAACAACAAACTACAAACAAACTACAGCCAAATGAAACAAGCTCACATCCATTTTTCTGGGTGCCTTCCAAAGACCCACAGGGAAACAAAATAAATGGCCTCATTAAGAACACTTTCAAACATTATTTACCTCACTTAATTGAAAAATAACCCCCTGAACATAATACATTATAGATTTAATATGATATCATGGTAATAATGTACAAGCACGTTAGAGGGTGGAATTAAGGCTCATGATCTCAACTCAGTCCTCTGGTCTCCCTTTTTTGTGGCAGATAAAGATCAAATATTAATTTCAGCCCCCGGAGCTCAGTGATGAAAAGATCCAGATTCACACAAACACAATGTGTTCTCTCCTTTTTCATCAATATTGATGTAATACTGAAATAGTGCCAGTGCTGCATTTAGGTGATCAAACAGAAATCAAATGGAACAAATGCAACTAGAAAGAAATCGTGAATGAGTCTTTGTAAACCTTGCAATATATATATATATATATACATTCCAACCTTTTTTCTTCCCTCTCTCCTTTTCAGGAGTCGGTGATGCTGCAGTTTTGTGGCAACAAGCTAGACAAGAAAGACTTTTTTGGGAAATCTGATCCTTTCCTTGTCTTCTACCGCAGCAACGAAGACGGATCGTAAGTTGAGATGCCGCTTCGCCCGTGGTATCTGCGGACATCAATTTTCTCAATTAACAAAAGCAGCAATCTCAGTTTTACACACTAAAGCGCACACACACAGGATGTAAAGATGCCTGAAATGCATATAGACGCTGAGAGTAATTTTTCATGCTCCAAAAAGCTCTCATACACAGGATATAAGGTCTAAACTGCCTATGTGGCTTTACGTAATGCTCGCTGTTGTATACAGTATGTGACTTATGCCATCCAGCTGTCAACAGGAGAAAGCAGCAGAAGGAGGGATGAGCAGAGATAATAGGACAGCGTTGACAAGAGGGAAATAAAGGGAGGAAAGGATGGATAAGATGGAGTTAAGTGAAAACAGTGTGTGGGGGTCACAGTTTCTTTGCCCTGCAGATGCTTTTATTCAAGTCGACTTCAGCATCTCGCACTTAGCACATTCTCTCTTTGTGCAGCTGGGTATTTACTGATGCAGCCTAAATGTTCAGCCCTGAGGCATAACAGCACGCTGCGGCAACGAGGAGCCACACTGGTTATTGTATAAAAAAGAATAGGAAATAAGTTATTTCAGCCGAGGATGAAGTAAAGGAAACACTCCCCTTTTTTAAGAAGAGAGGGGACTCACATGCTCTTGTTTTTGCCTTCGAGGTAGATTTATCATCTGTTAACAATGTTGTGTTGTCCTACAGGTATACCATCTGCCACAAAACAGAGGTGGTGAAGAACACTCTGGATCCAGTGTGGCAGGCTTTTAAAATACCTGTCAGGGCGCTGTGTAACGGAGACTATGACAGGTACAGTGAGAGGACCACTTTTTACTGACAATGTTTGCAGTCTAACTGCTAAATTATTCTTACAAAGAGCTGACATAAGACTAAATTATTTTTACTGAAGTGCACAAGGATCTCAGGATGGATCTCGAGTCAGGAAGCATGACATAACTTCCCCTCAGTGGTGTCATGTTTTCATTTGTGTTTTGATAGAGTGTGATTTTTATTCAGTCACATTATCTCAACAAATATTCCTTTAAACTTTATCAGAGAATTGATATTTTGCCTAATTTCCTGCAGTTTGGGGGCAGATCACTGTGCTTGAACTGGTCATTCAGACATGGTGGAGGTGTGCTGGGTGCCATTCTAGCTTTAACATTGTAATGACACGATTAAGACTTCGTTGAAGACACAAACTTCAGCAGCACTTTGTCTGCTTTGTTGTGCTATGTGTATTTGCAGAACGTGTGTTTTCAATTTGATGTTGTTTTGTTTGCTTGTGTTTATTTAAGCCGATCTCTTAGCCACTGTATATAATCCATACATTTGCCAAGCCACTGCCACTGGTTAATTACCTGTTCATGTCATGTTGAATATACTGGAATTACTAGGTTCTGACATGTTAACATTAATGTGAATATCCAGGTGTAAGTAGGGCCTCTGTGAACACAATGATAGAAAGAAAGCACATTACTACCATGGACACACATCAAAGCCTCTGTTCTTTACCTCTATGATACAATTTGTCTTTTGATATAGTTAATTTTGATTTAATGAATATACTCTAAACATTACACAACCAGTTCTCGAATGACATAAACACTCTCAGGCTATAAACACACCTTTGTGACATAGGCCTTATTGGTTCTTCTTCTTCTTCTTCAATATCTCTAGTCTTGACAGATAAAGAAGACTGGGCAGCTGTAGAGGTGGGATGTACTGTCTGAGTGCTTCCTATATATATTTTTATCTTTTTACAATTCGTTTCTTATTCGCCTTACACCTGGGAATACTGATGATGATGTTTAAAAAGGAAAAACATTCTGCGGTATGTAGGCTCTTCCACTTAGGACCTCAGCCTTCTAAGGACCAGTTGCCAGCTTTTTAAGCAGAAACGCTGTAAATCAGTGATGCTAATTGGTTCTTTAATAGGATTTCCATCTCTCGTCCTCTTTCACTGCAGGAGCATTAAGGTGGAGGTGTATGACTGGGACAGAGATGGAGGGTGAGGAAACAATGCTCTTTCTTCTGTGTCATGAAATGACTTCATTGTGTGATACGATGCTCTATCCGTCAGTATCTGTGTAGTAATTATCGTGTCATTCGCACACTGCTGTGAAAGGTATCCCTCGTACATATGCATTAAGGCCCTGGGGCAAAGCAAACGTGTTAATTACCTGTGAGATTTATATTGTGGGAACCAGACTATTACTCCTGAGGACACTGATAATGTACACCCCCCCCTTGAAAAGAAAGACTGCCTGATAATATAAGTCTCTCAGTTAGAGTGGATACTGTAAGAGAAATATCACCACAGAGCCGTACATGTGACAACTCACCATACTGCTTTAAATACACATTAGCTGTTAATACTGCCTGAGCAGTCCCCACACAGATAACTTCATGCAGTGAGTCGGGGGATAAAGATAGCGCTTATCTTTTTGAAGCGAGTGGATTTGCTCCTTCATTGTTAAATTCAGAGGCAGTTTTTGACATTTCAAGGACATTTTGCCTCCCATTCATTCCTGACCATGATTCCAACTGTACTGATTATGTCCATGAAATTATGAAATTAGAAGCAGGGCCCACGCCTCCACTAACCAAGGAACACATGACAAAAAAAATTCATGAAGTCTCTGATTCTAGAGCAAGTCTTTTTAATATTCTTATGGGTTCTTAGCTTTCCGACGCTGCTTCTCTACAGTATGGGTAGAAATGTGACTGTGTTTGATTTATAGCCACGACTTTATCGGCGAGTTCAGCACCAGCTACAGAGAAATGTCCAGAAGCCAGTCACAGTTCCACATCTATGAGGTGAGTTTCCTCTCTCTCGAAAACACACACACACACATACACTCTCATATACTCACTTACGCTTCCATTAATGACAAATCATTGAGAATCATCAAATTGTGACAAAGAGCCTTTTCTAGCCTTAACGGTCTAACAAGCCATGGAAACTCAGACCAATCATTCCGATGAGCAGTCACATGGCGTGCTCTAAAGAGAACAAGTAGACAATGAAAACAGTGTTTTTAATCAAGACTAGACAGTCTTATATTTCCACTTCGGTTCAAAAACAATATGGCTCATATGCTATGAGACTTGGTGATTGTTAAAAGCAGCAATGCTAAACAATATTAAACCAATCCTGCCCGGATTCTAAAATCCTAACAAGACAAGCTTGGGCTCACTTCTCTCACTGAACCATCAAAGTGGGGCTGGGATACAAGAGGAGCTGTTGAAGCTGTTCAGTTGTTAAGATGTGTTGAAATAATTGGAAGAGACTGATAAGTGAAGATGAACTGACAAAAAAAGAAAAGAAAAAAAAAGCTCAAGACAGTGTGTGTTAAACAGTGAGCATTGAAATGAGTGACAGAGGACTTTGGCAAGCAACTGGCTCCAGGGACACAGGTAGGAGTGGGATTTGCCAAATATGGTGATGTAACAATTAACAAATGACCTTTGACAGGGATTACAGTGTGAAGAAGGAGGAATTGACAGACAGAGGAGTAAAGGCAGAGTGTGAGAAGTGAATCTTCTGCCAAACCTTTATTTACTGAACAAACAAACCCAGTTGTTACATCTGGATGCAGATATTTTTTAGAGCAAGTGTTATTTTTAAGTTTAGTCTTAATAGATGCTCATTTTTTATTTTGTGTTAGTGCTTCTGAAATATTAAGAATGCACATTGTTAAATTGTAATTCACACACAAAAAACAACATCGGTAGGCCTGCCTTAATTTTCCAGTGGATTTTCCAGTTTTCTATGTTTCGACAAATATACATCAGAGCTGAGGAACAGACTGATCCACTGCTTTACAAACTGGATCTGGTCATTTATAATGAGACACTAAAACTATCCTCTACCTGATTATAAACTATGACAGTGTGCACCTGTCTGTCCATTTGTCTGTGCGTCTCAAAATCTCAGGAACGCCTTGACTGTGTCGTCATGGCAAAATGAGTTTGAGTTTTGAGTGCTTTCAATATTTTCTGTCTGTCTGCCTGTCCCTCAGTCAGATTTTGCGATTGCAATAGCATCACAACTGTGACAGATAGAGTCGTGAAACTCTACACGAGATCAAAATGAAACCTGAGTTTGAAGAGTGGTGTGGTCGGACCCATGAGTACTGAGTTCCCTTTGTAATAATGAAGTAATGAATACTGTGTATACTCATGGGTTGGAATGTCATCATGTTGACAGGCGTGGCAGCTGATGGGCTCCAATTTTATTTAGAGTCAACATTTTCCAGATGCTCCTGCAGGGAGAGCTGGTTTGACCCCATTTGAGAGAGTTTTTTCGGCAATGGGACATCACCTCCTCATTCTTATTCAGCAGTGGTTAATATTGTGATTCACTACGCACACTGACATGGAGGTGTACACCAGTGATTATATAGTGACTCTTGTGATTAATTAACAAGATGCTTCCCTTCCTCGAAGTGCACTTCACCCGCTGGTCCATGACCATCTTCAGCAGCTGTGTTTGAGCGAACCATAAATCACTGACAGTCAGGAGTCAGTAAAGGTGCTTGTGAAGGGCAACTTGAATCGGCTTATTCTCACTCCCGTCTTCTAATCGGTTTAATCTGTGCTGGATTCTCTGCAGACTGAATATTTCAGTTGCCAGGACGCACATTATGAAAAATTTGATTTTCAATTTCGAATAAATAAATCTATTCTTCTAATTAAACTGGATGTAATGTGGCGATAAAAGTTTTCTTTGCCAACTCATTACACGGTATTCACTAAGTGTGTTTCATCTCCACAGGTGCTTAATCCAAAGAAAAAAGGAAAGAAGAAGAAAAAGTATCAAAACTCAGGAACGGTGAGTTTGTGCTCTCAGCTCGCTGATGTTTTTTGCACCGTTACACTAATGCTGCACTTACACTTGATGCTTTGCTAAATTTAAAGCTGCTATTCAGGGTTAATGTGACCTATTATTTATTATATCCAAAACGCAGATAAAAGACGGCGTCAGAGGAACAAGTTGTATCAGATAAACTTACAAGACCCATAGACATGCATGTGTTTGAGTCTGTGTTACATATTTCATTTAAAATCATTTCCAGTTTGTGTTCATTTGTTAGTTTGTTCGTAGAATTAAGAAAAAGAGCACATTACATTTCCACAAATTCTATTCACTTTCTTTAACATTATTATAGTAAATCATGAATCTTGATTTAAATAATCAGGCATGTTCAGAGGACTGGTATTTCTAAGCATGTGCGATTTGTTGTAGGTCCAAAACAAAATCTGTATCGAGTGAATTTGAATGTGGTTTCATGAGGGGACTGTTGATAGTGCGCTCTACTGACGGTTGTAATTGTGGCTCGGCAGTTTCAGCTACCAGCGGCAAGTTAGTTAAGTTCATTTATTCCTGTAGCCCAATCATACAAATCTGTAGCCAGTGGCATTATAGAGAGGGGAGGGGTCCCCTTTTTCACTAATGAACAACTAGTTAAAGAAAAATAATATATAGTCAAGAAAAAGACACAGCAAGCTGAAAAAACAAGGTCTCTAACAATCTGAGAATCAGGAGCCACATGTTAAAGTGATAGTTATGTAACTCCTTCACTTGTGGTTGGCAGGTCACACTCCTGTCCTGCCTGGTGGACACTGAACTCTCCTTCCTGGACTACATCAGAGGCGGGTAAGTTCACAATAACAGGCATCCTGTGATTTTCTAAAGCTTCAGCACCAGCATCGCTCTCATCATTGAATCCAGTTGCAGTTAAAATGCAGTGTCGACTCCGCAGAGACTCAGTTTAAAGGATTACTGCACGGTGTTTATCTCTTAGCTCCAATATTAAGAGCGACTGCTGATGACAGCCCGCTGCTTAATTGCTTACTGCTGCATGCTTTGAAACATGCTGTGATATAATCTAGAGTGATTCAGGATTCCTTGATTGACGGATATATTTTCTCTTGTAGGACTCAGATTAATTTCACAGTGGCAATTGATTTCACAGCATCAAATGGTAAGTGTGTTAAAGATTTGCTCTTATCAGTGTAATCCATTAAGTGTGTGGAACAGATCAAACTTTGGTGGTTAACGCTCCGATCTTAATGTGATGTGAGCTCTTGACTAATTATTATCAGTCCATTTCCATTGACTTATTCCATCGTCACTTTGTGTTTAATTAGACGGACAAAAAGGGTAAAGCAGCAAAAGGTTGGAAAATTATCTGAATATCATTTATTAATTTAACTTCATAGCTTAGTGTGATGTTATTTATTGACCACAGTTTGTACACTATGTGCAAGGTTTCACAGTTGCTAATAGCTAATAGCGTTCAAGCTCAATCTTAAACCATTTTGATGTCATTAATAATTAAGACCCAAAGCATTGAAAAAATATGGCCCATGTTTAAAAATACAGTTCTTATCTTCCAAGCATATATACACATTACTTGTTGTGTTTTTGTGATGGGTAAAGTTCTTCTTTGGGCTCCAGTTTCCATCTGATATTTTATCTGTTCTTATTTCTCTTTTGGTGTCAAAAATATAGACAAGACAAAAGAAGCAGAACTTTAAACATGTATTTTTAATTGTTGTATGCCTTAGTTGTATTTTAAATCATCAAGAGCAACTTCTCGCCTCACGGACAGGAAAACAGTTTTTTCTGCAAAAAGCTCTGCATTATCTCTGAGTAATCACATGTTTACTGATTTCATTTCATTCACGAGCATTAGTGAGATCCTTAAGGGTCAGCAGATTGCTGGGGCAGCACCATCCTGTTCGTGTGGTAGCTTAATTGCAGCAGTGGCTACATAATGTAAAACTGTGGCTCCTCACTCCAACCACTGAGGTCATTTCTTCCTCCAGTGCAGTTGTGCCACAGGGAAATATTTGTGTTCCTCAAACTCTAGTCTGCTTTTTAACCCCTTTCCACCCACTCCTCTCCTTTTTATTTTAATATGACTCACAGCCCCAGAGGGGGGGGAAGGCAAAATTACAGATTGATGCTGAGGTGTGTTGTATTGTGTTTAATCATTCGGGTCCCAGGCAACCCGTCCCAGCCCACCTCGCTCCATTACATGAGCCCGTACCAGCTGAACAACTACGCCATGGCGCTGCGGGCGGTCGGAGAGATCATTCAAGACTACGACAGTGACAAGCTGTTTCCTGCACTGGGCTTTGGTGCCAAGCTTCCACCAGACGGACGGGTCTCACATGAGTTTGCCCTGGTGAGGAAACAGCTTTATTCCATCATTTGCATCATCCAAAAACTCAGCCTTTCAATCTGTCATCCATTTATTCGCCCATCTTTTTATTTTAAGGCACATACGAACACTGATAAAAATAACTTCTCCCTTTTACAAAACATACAAACATCTTCCTGCTTATTATTTATTATCCATTTATGTAATGTTCACATAATGAAGGCAGACATAGAGAACTCTGCCTCCTCAATAGTTTTAACATTAACAGCATCATGGTCAGTTTCGGCAGAAAACAAGAAGGCAACACTGTTTTTCTGGTGCAAACAATGATGAAAACTTTCTCAAAGTGATGAATAATGAAGGTGATAAAATACAAATTAAAACAACATTGGAGGTGATGTTTTGTATGAATCGTAGACGGTTTTTATTGTCGTGAAACAGGAGGGCTCATTACAAAAGTTTGAGCAACAGTAAGATAAGATAAGAAATGACAGAATAAAAAAAAAGTCTGTTCTCAAAAAGAGTTTTTATATCTTTCATGCCAGTTGAAGGAGCATGTGCATCACAGTGAGAGCACAGATAACACAAGGTTTTACTCGTACACTCAGTAAGTAAAACTGAAAAACTGCCTGCAACAAACCTTTCATACACACAGGACCAATTACAGGCTACAGTCTATTGGTGGGGGGGGGGGTGGTGAATGGTGCTGTCCAAAAACAGGAATACAATCAGCCAACCAGCCTGCACACACTGCTGATGAAAGCCAAATGAGCTGTTTAGTTTATGGCTTTAAACAAGTCGTTTTAGCCATGCAACACTTCACATCTATTTACTCATTTTCGCTCTAAGCTGCCAGAGGAAGTTCTTCTGGAGTGACCATTATTTCTGCTGTACTTTCTTTTTGAATATGTGAGTGTTGTTTTGCAGCTCTGACATATGAAAATCATACACTTGTCCCCATTAAGCATAAATAATCTGCAGCATCAGAGTCTGCATTTTCCGCATTCAACCTCATACCTCTTTAAACTAGTGTTATGGGATAGAATACATTACATTTAATAGTGACAGTGCAGATTTCAACCAGCTGAATACCCCTCTCTTTTTCATCTACTGTAGCCTTCTGGTAACACAACAATGTGACAGGCTGTGCAACATGGTTGAGTCTGTAGAAGAATAATGGCACTGGCTCGTTCTAAATTCCTAGTTTCAGTTGATTAATACGCTCATGAAAACTTAATTGTGAATATTATTTGCCATTTCTGCCAAGAGATCCCTCAAAATCCTGCCCACTGATCCTTTATCAGTCTATCATCCTCCTCCAATTCATCTTTCCCACTTTGCATATGTAAATCCTAAATGGTCTGTATATATATAGCGCTTTTCTAGTCTTGATGTTTGGGGTTCAGTATCTTGCCCAAGGACACTCTGGCATTCGTCAAGCACTGTGGGTCTCTGGACGTCCTGACCTTTCCTCAGCCACCCATTATCCTCTCCCTGCTCTACTGTTGCTTTCAGATGTTGCTCCAGAGGCGTTTAAAGCCATTACAGCTGCTCAGTGTTGGGTAACAGCCTCCCAGAGGCGCCAAAGCCCAGAACAAGGCACCTATGCATTAATGTAGCCATTAAGGATTCAACTTAGTCAGCTCCTAAAGAGGACGGCTACAGCTGTGTAGTCACAGCGGGATGAGGCCACCCCTGAATCTGTATTATCTGTAATTATGCAAGATCTATTTACAAAGCAAAGGAGTCTCATGTGCGTTGTTCGTACTTGAGGCCAGCCAAGCACAGTCAGTCAAGATGGTTTCTTACTGAGGTAATTAAAAAGCCCAAACATATGGTTAGAATAAATAATGTATTGTTTGCCTTTTTTCTTTTATCAAACCTAGTCAACCAGAGATTTTAATATCGTTCAAAGATTCTGAGATCTGCAGAGTGACAAAAACACTACAACAACTTTAGTTCCTAAAAGGAGTATTTCTTTAATTGTTTTCCCGATTGTAGCCTCTCCTTCAGACAGATTGCATATCACCTGATGGATTGTACCAGATTGCCTCTCATGCTCTCCATTCCTCATGCTGAGTTAAAAATGTGAAACGGCTCACCTCAGGATATTCATTACTGAAATGCTGCAACAAAAGAATTAAACCCTCGACATTTCTCTAAAATATGTTTTACATATTTAATATATGATTGGATTGTGCATCCTTACAGGCTTGCAGCCTTCCAGTGCCTCTTACACTAGGTAATATTTTTTGATAACATCCAAGTGTTATTGATGTTTTGGCTCCGGGGAGGCCATTTTGTCATGAGTGTCAGAGTGTGTATGTAATCCTGTTATCCTGCAATTTCGCAGCCAAAACATGCCAATAAAAATGAAATTCCATCCCAGTCTTTTCCCCATAAAGGAATATAAAATCTACTGATACTTTATCATTTTCTCCTTCGGGGTGATGCTGCTGTATTATTCCTTGTAGCTGCGCTATCTCGAAATAACAAAACTATGTTTGATTATATTTTAATTTTATATAGTTGTAAAAAAGGCCTGTGGGTGTAGCATAGAGATGTAATGTAAGCAAGTTATTCTAATTGCCCTTGAATATATTTAACACATTTTTCTTTATATTGTTTTGCTGAAATCATTATAAACACATGAAAGAAAAAGACACAGACGAGCAGCATCATCTTTGCAACTGAAGTGTGCGTTTTTAGATTTTCTGAAATAACTTTTAAATGTCATCAACTTCACACAAAGAAATTAAAACATTTCCCGAGAAGATCTAAGTACAAACTGATCTGATAGATTCTAAAAGCGTCTTGTCAACCAAAATACCAGAATTGTTTTTCAGCAGCTGTTGAAATTAGATGCAAATAGTATGTCTAGCCTCTACTGACACAGGGATTATCACACCACAACATGCAGGAGATTTAACATGAACCTAAAATAACCTTATTTTAAGCTTACACATCCCCCATTAGATATTAATATACTTAAATACATTTGCCAAATGAACTTAGATCACAATATTGGATACTTAAAACTTGTGCATATGAAATATATTGATTTAAAATATTCTAATGTTTGCTCATTAGTAGCTTTGTCTTTTTGTTTCTGTGCAGAATGGTAATCCACAGAACCCCTACTGCAATGGTATCGAGGGGGTAATGGAGGCCTATTACCAGAGTCTCAAATCTGTGCGACTCTACGGACCCACCCACTTCTCCCCTGTTATTAACCATGTGGCCAGGTAGGTCCACTATAATCACAGCCATGGATCAGGAACATGTAGGCAGACACACAGGAACACACACACAAACAACTCTCCTCAGGTACAGCACTACAAAATGTATAGTTGTGCAGCTAAAACTCCTGTAAGTCAGTCGATTTACTGCAATAGTGCGTGTGTTTGTGTGTGTGTGTGTGTGTGTGTGTGTGTGTGTGTGTGTGTGTGTACAATGATGTGGCGAGCAAAGGGAGGAGATTTAGATAAATATCTTATGTCATCTCAGAGGAAGCAACATTTACTGCGGTGAGTTGGATCATGAACAATGTTTTAGGAGATGACCAGTCTGCATGATGACTAATGAACTTACATAAATTGCCCATGCATTGAATAAAGCATTTTGTGAACAAACAGTAAATGTCAAACCTCCTACCATTTCACAACAGTCAATACATTCTTGTACACTATGTTTACATTGACACCAATATTCTGACTATTGACCTTATTCAGAATAAGACATTATTTCAATGATTTGCAAATAGAATATCCCATTCCTGTTAGCATGTTAAAGAGCAGAGTCTAATTATGACTCGCGTCATCATCACATTTATTATCCGATGTTCCTGCAATCTTTTTATTGCAATTTCGATTGTTTGTATTTCATAATGTATTAATCAGATTATGGTTTATTCAGAGTGTGTTTCATGACTCTAAACTCTGAGATTAGGGTTTAGGGATTTTTGTTGGACACTTTTTGATTATTGACCCTTTTGGTTTATTGACTCTTACCTGTGTTTCCTTGTTTAGGTTTGTGTGAAATTGTTTCCCCTGAGTATTTGCTTCCTGTTTTATTTTGAAATTATGTTCCTGTCTGTGTCTGTAACTTTATTTCCTAATGTGCTTCACCTTCAATTATCCACGTCTCTGCTGTGTATACAAGTCTCTCTGTTCTCTTTGTCTTTGTCACCTCATCGTCGTTCACTCGTCACGGTCTCGTCATGTTTTCAGTGTCATCTCGTCACTAGGGTTTCTCTGTGTTTTCACTTCAGCCTTGGTGCCTTTTCTGGTTTCCAGTGTTTTTTCGGTTTCTGTAAACGTAGCTTTTTGGACTTTGTTTGTTTTTGTATCTTGTTCTTTTATAGTTTTATATTTGCCTTATTAAAAGGACACTTTTGGTTATTTTACTTGCTTCTGTATTTTGGCTCCAGCTGCACAACTCATCTCTGACAGTGTGACTGTATTCAGGTTAAGGTGATTAGAAAATCCTGTTTACAGTCTTTTATTTTGACTGTCTTTCTAATAAAAGGAGTCAATAAAATATTATAGACACAAATGGAAAATCTTATCTTCAGTATGAAAAGAACTAAACCTGATTAACATGACATATGGCTCCTCAAGTGTGGTTAATTTTTTATCGAAGCAACAAATTAAAAATGCAAGAAGCTGCTCTCTTGCTGTTTTAAATATTCAAAATGAATAATATACACTCCCAGTTGAGACTCATGGGACCGTCTGAAGCACTTGCCAATTTTGAGCCACTGATAAAACCGTATGTAATGTTTTGTAGTGCAGTATTTTCTGACATTCGGTATCGCCAGATCTCGTCACCTGATAATACAGAGTGACTGTAACAAGCACTTTTCCCACCTTTCATCATTGACTTTCAAATCCGCTCTCTCCCTCCCTGAGTGCTGTCCGCCCACTCAGCCTGAGAATAGGTGCATGGTGCCACACTCGTGTCTGTGGAGCATCTGACTAAAACCCAGGAATGCATTACCAACTAAAAATTTCAAAAGTGACACTAACCCCAAATGTTGACATCAGCTCAAACATTTCACCCTGGTTTATGTCACAGAAAGAGCTGTATGTGTTGGTGTAAAGCTCAAAAATAAATCCAAGGTGTCTCAGTAAGTCTAATTAAAGCATAAACCATACTGTATTTTCTCATAATTTTTTAATTCGTGATTATTTTTTATCCTGTAATAGTTTTTCACCGTATCAGGATATTTTCATTAGATTTATTGTACTTAAATTAAATTATACATTACTAAAGATAATATATTTGTTTGATATTATTTACTTTGTCCTTAAAATGCAAAAAACATTTTCAAAATAATCAATGCATCCAAGAACTGGAAAAAGTCATCGAACATTTTCCATAACATACACTATTTTGGATAAAGAACTGACACACGCATTGTAATTGGACCATTTGTTTTCAATGTAACAAGGTCAGACTTTTATTAATCTCTGAGGGGTAACAGCCTGATATTGGATACTATGTAATAAGGTCATTACTATAGTGATTAGTGAGATATAAGACAGAGGTACGTTCAAGTCAGCATTTGAATATTCTACTTTTGTTAAGTTGATGGACATGAGCAAGACTGATGAGGAAGAAAAGATTAAAGGAGTTGCAGCAGTGGAGAGATTCTGTGGTATACTGACTGGTCCGTCTGAGCTGAGCTTCAAACGCACCCTTATTGTTGGACCTTTCCTGAAATATCTGTTAAACCTTGTATCCAGATTCTAACTCTGATGACTGGTGACTTTATGAAGAGTTACTGCTGGAGCTGCTCCCGCTGTAGAAAGCTCTCCCAGAGCCACCAAGAACATTATACAGATTTCACAGGCTCTGTAGTAACAAGCAATCTGGTCGCGGCAGTTCTCCCCTAAATATACACTTATAGATTTTAGACTAGAAGAAAAAAGGTAATTAACTTACTAGTCATTTGTTTTATTTTTGCTCATTCGTCCTCTGACATCTCTCTCTTTCATTGCCAGGTATGCATCCGCAGTGATGGACGGCTCACAGTACTTCATCCTGCTCATCATCTCGGATGGTGTGATCACGGACATGGCACAGACCAAGGAGTCTATAGTCAATGTAAAGTACCAGATCACATTTAAACTCTATCTGTGTATATTTTATGGTCTGAGCTTTCAGGTGTAAAGAAGGAAACTTTGGGATCTATATTAATGATTTAAGATTATGTTCTGAGGCTGAAATCCACTTTGCTATTTTGATGTTTTATCTCATCTCTCTTCAAGAGCATTGTCTTTCAGTTTGAGAGCAGGACTTATTGATTTCACACTTTGGAAAGCTTTCGTTCAAAACCCTGCGCTAGCGCTCAGAAAGCCTCTGCTTGTGCTCAGACTGTGCGCTTGCACTCAGATGTTTTGTTGCTTGGACGGATTTTCCAGGTTTAGCTCTTCTCCTTGCCTTTACACTGCTTCACAATACCAGGTGTAGTGTTGACAAGTGACACTGTCCCACTTTAGCTCTATGGCTTTAGAGTCCCACACAGGTGGTTACTTTAATTCAATTCAATTCTATTTTATTTGTATAGCGCCAAATCATAATATACATTATCTCAAGGCACTTCACAAAGAAGGTCAAGACCTTAAAATCGTATTAATATAGAGAAACCTAACAGTTCTCACAATGAGCAGCACTTTGGCGACTGTGGAGGAAAAACTCTCTCATTAACAGAGAGAAACCTCTAGAACCAGACTCAATGTGGGCGATCATCTGCCTCGACCGGGGTGAGCAGAGGGGAGGTGAGGAGAGATGGGTGGAAAAGAGGGGAGAGAAGAGAGAGAGATAGTGGGGAGGGGGAGGAGGGGGAGAAAAAGAGGTGAGAGACCGGGAACACTTGAGCACCATCAGGTATCAGATCTGACCAGTTAAAATGTAAACAATAACAGTGTAAAGATGTTATATAGCAGCAAAAATTCCTATCATAATTAATTACTAATAAGGTGTTATCCTGCAGCTCTGGAGTCAGAGATACCTACAAAGACTGAGAGAAAGAGGTAAAGAGACTATGGGAAGAAAGCGGACACATTAAAGCTTAAAAGCCGGGGGGGGCGGGGGGCGGGAGCGCATGAATCGTGGAACTTCAAGTGGAAAAAATGGTTATTCTGCTGGATGCATGGTTCAGAAAATGCAATAAACCAATAAGAGTGGCATCTTCCATTCCCTTTAACAGCCAGATATGTTTGCACCAGCCTCAAGATAACAACGCACCAACAATGCATGTGACCAAAAATCATTTTTAAGAGCAACACACCTATGGGTGCTCAGATCGGCAGCAAAACGAGCATCCATCTGAAATAAGCAAAGACACTCGTGTTGCACTTGGTCTTTTCAAAAACATCTTAACCAGTAAACATACAGTGACTTGCCCAATTAAATTTCATTTATCATGGGCAGGCAGCAGTCCTTGCACTGTTTGCTTTTATTTTATTCAGTTCATTTACTGTGTCAAACATGTGAGGACCCCTGGAGGTCCAGCAATAATTAAATTCAGAAATGGAAATCCCAATAAACAAACTAACAAGCAATATGAAAGAGAGAATATGAGAAGCAGCCCATCTGGTGTTTTCCTCTTTTAAAGCCTCTCTCTCTCTCTCTCTCTCTCTCTCATTTCTTATCATCACTAATGAGTGGAGTGAGGGAAGAGAGAGGTAGATCTGGTACACTTCCCCACCCCCCCATCCCCCTAACAAACACACACACCCCCCATGCGCCCCCTGCTATGCTCAGCTCTAATAACTTGGCTTTGTAATTAGAGTGATCAGAGTTAATGTGTGTAATGATTTTGGGTGAGCTCATATATTTGGAGCCTTGGTTATGTGCCCTCACCACCAGTCCAGCTTCCCCCCCCATGTGATGTAATGTTATTGTAAAGTAAGATTTGAGAGTAATTATTTACTGGCCCGCGGAGGATCCATGCCCCTCATAGCTCAGGCAGTTTGAGCATCCATCTAATAACTACAGGAAGTTATGAAACACTGGAGAAACCCTCCATCATTCATCACTCAAACTGTACTTTGCTTTCCCGCTCAGCTCAGATTTAATAAACAATATAGTGGCAGTGGGGGTGCAGCTCAGGGCAGAGGGAGATGTAAATGGGAGTCATTTTTAAGATGTCGAGCTTTTGAGAGATTTAGACAAAGTTGTAGATGCATGAAATTAGAAACTCCAGAACTGGTGGGACGAGAGGCGTTCGGAAAGTGTCTGGAGAGGCCAGATGGAACTGGATGAACTCATCTATCTCGACAATGGGAGGGCATTTTTTCCATTGAGCTTCGGTTGTACCCGCTGTTAACTTACTGTAAGTAATTCATGGGGGTATTTCACTGACAGCCGGTGTTAAAGATAGCAAGTGGTGAAAAGAATGGCCACTTCTCTTCCCTGCTTTTGATTCACATATTCTGTCTCTTTCCACCCTTTGTAGGCCGCATCTCTGCCCATGTCAATTATAATAGTCGGGGTTGGGCCAGCAGAATTTGATGGTAAGCTGGGTGAAGAGCACATATACGTTTGCATGGCTTTGTGTTAATGTGTAGGTGAGTGTGTGTGTATGTGTGTGTTTATTTGCATGCTGTAATCCTTTGCATTCATTCCACTTCCTATCTCGCCTCCCACATGGTTCAGCTCTTCCTTGTGCAGATCCTCTTTTCTTCTCTCCTCCATTCTCCTTCCCCTTAATTTTTCCTCCAGAGTCTGAGCTTAAGTCGATGGGAAAAATTCTCATTTTTCAGACCAGCGGTGGTGTGTTTTCTTTTTTTCCTTTTTGTAAAGCAACCGCAGCCACGTTCCTCACCTCTCTGCTGTGTTGTTGCAAAGGCATTCATGTTTACCATTCACAGAGCAGTCCTCTGTAAAACCAAGCTCACTCACGATGAGCAATTAGCCTGCAAAGTCAACAAGATTCAACAATTACCATGGCTGTGAAGTCATTGTGCATGGTTGCATTACGTCCCTATGGTGCACATCGCTGGCTCTGCTTTCACATATTCTTGCATGTCTTCCCTATGTTTCCCCTGTGTGCAACTTGGCTCGGTGGCTTCACGCTCATCGACTCAAATTCTGTGTACTTATGTCGCGTTTGGCTTTGTCAACACTCTGAGGCAATGTAGCCCAGTGGCACGCTAATGGCTCCAGCAGATTATATCGCACAAACTGCGTGTCATGTTTGCTCGCCGTGGCGGTCGGAGCCTCCTGACAGGGTGTGATGGATGTGCTTCCCCCCTCAGAAATGATCGAGCTGGACGGAGATGAGGAGAGGATCTCTTCCCAAGGACGATATGCAGAGAGGGACATTGTTCAGGTACAGAAAGACTCGGCTGAGGGGCTGTGAAGCTGAGAGCTCAGCACAGTGTTTCCAGAGAAATGTGGGATTTATGATGAATGAGAAAAGGTCATGGTGTATGACCTGCTGTGCTCTTGTTCTCAGTCTGCCATTTATCTCTCCTTCCCTCTGAATCACTTCCATAAACTACATCCCCCTTTTTTTCATGTGTCCTTTTTATTCTGTTCTCCTCTCTCACCTTCTCTCGCCTGATATTTTACATATCTTCTTCTCTAGTCCTCTCCTTTTTTTTGCTTCCTCTTCTCTTCCCTCCTCTCCTTGTAACCTTATTTTTGCTCCTCTGCTCTACTTTCCTCTCCTCCCCTTGTTTCTTCTTCTATGACCCTTTTCAGACCTGGTATCAACATCCATCCTGAGAGATCCAATCAAAAGTGACAGTTACCTGACATTAAAATGCATCCAGAATGTGTCTCCTTTGACCAATGTGATCAGATCTCATTTCCCTAAATACAAATAATCACGACTGTCTTCTGTGTTCGCGAAGACCAAATGACGTTGATTTTACTCAGTCTGAGATTCCAAATGTGTCCGATGTCACTATATTTTTGTCAGTGTGTGTCTGCATGAGCGAGCATGAGAGAAGTGGCGAGAGAAAGGACTCAGGAGTGGCTAAATGAATCTCGTCCAGCTCTGCTTTGTAGAGAGATTTGACCAATTGGAGAGGAGTGGCAGTGTTTGTGTAATGTTGCCACAAACAAATGTGGTCAGAGGGATTGGGTCTCAGGATGCAAACACACCTGTGCTTGGTGCGGATCGGATCACTCAGGATGGATTTTAATACCAGGTGTGAAGTGAATCTTCACTCTTCTCCTTGTTTCACGTGCGCATATAACTGAATCTTGGATGAGAGGGGAAATATCTATAAGAAAACATAATGACCCATGACCTGGATGACTGAGAACCTTCACAGATCTTTCCTCCTCTTGTCTCCTTTGCTCCCCTCAGTTTGTTCCTTTCAGAGACTACATTGACCGGCGAGGAAACCACATCCTCAGTATGGCTCGGCTGGCTAAAGAGGTGCTCGCTGAAATCCCCGACCAGTTCCTGTCCTACATGAGGACCAGAGGCATCAAACCCGGGCCCTTGCCACCTCCTTACACCCCCGGTCCGCCACCAGCTATCCACCCCCTTCTCACCAGACGGGTAAGCCGAATTTAAAAGCTGAAGCCTCACTCCAACGCCAGCCATCCGACTCCGTTGGTCTCTACTACTTCTTCTCTGCTTCTTCCTCTTCCTGCTCTTCACCGGAAGCTTTTTGAGCATGTGGCGAACCTCGCCTGCTCTCTCATGTTGCACTTTCGGGACATTTGGCCGCTAGTGGTGACGCGGGTGGGACACTAGCTTCCACTTTTTCGAAGGAGGGACTTTTCCCATACTGGACGAAGGTGTGGGTTTTGAAGGGTCATGGTGGTGGGTGAGGGGGAGGGTGTTACCTAACTGCACCACAATAACTGAACAGAACAGTTACTGACCACTTGCATCCGTCAGACTGAAAGAGTCCAAACTGGTGGAGACTCTTTGAAACACTGTTCATCGGTTTGCTGTTTCTATTTCCACTTCCTCTGTCACAAAATCATGTCTTTCTCTGATATGTAAATGTTTACAAAATCGAGGTCTGGAAAGGAGAAATTTTTCAGGAAGAACTTTTTACCGTTTAATGTGAAAACCTTTCAGATTCCTATTTTTCGGCTGCAGAAAACTGAAAGTTTGTGAATCTGTACAATAATGTTTAGGCCCTGGTGCCACATTCTTCTTTACAGTGTGTATTTTTTTTTTTTTTTTAAATGGAGCATGTGCTAGTTTAAGATAAGCATGCACTGTTGTCCTGCACTCAGGGCTTTGTCCCTCCCACACAAACCCCCCACCACCACCACTGCCATGTTCCATTAAGAACAAACCAATCACCTGCCTGAAATCTTCCCACGCTCCTAAACCTTCTGCTCCATCCACCTGCCTTGACTCAAAAGGAAGCTGTGCTCCCTGGTCAAATCAAATGCAGCAGGGACTTGAACCAGCCTTACCAGATAACATAAACAAGTACAGTGTCGTCCCTGGGTTCTGGATGGATCTCCAAGCCCAGAAGTCAAAAACACACTCACATCTTACTACCGAACCTGACTGTGTGTTAAGTTCTAGAGTCTCTTTACTTTCATGAAATTACATTGTATTTAGTATTGTAGCATTTATTTAGTTTAGTTTTAAGTCTCTCTACCTCTCACTTTGTTTAGTATTGCCAAAAAAAAATTTGATTTGATGACAAAGTGTTGGTGTGTCAGTGATTTTTGATAAGTCTGTAGAGTTCACACTTTCACACTAAGTATTCACAAAATATTTGCCAAACTGCAGGCGGAGAATTACAGCACTTTGGTTGCTATCAGATCAGGTGACTCACACGTCAGTGGTAGCATCGCACTGTTGATATGTGCACTGAAGATCAGTGAACCTAGAACACAAAGATGCAAAGATGATTCTTCTTCTAAGATAACGATCCAATTAATGACTGTGGGCACAGATTTAGCTCCATGTTTTCAAACAGCATTGTGATTTATAGTTGAAGCCAATAATAATCAGTAGTCCCTAATGTTTAATAGCATGTAGCTGACCATGTCCTTCAAGGTAAACTTCACAGAAAACTTCTGTCAAATCTGATTATGACAGCAGCTGTCCTTCCCTTCGACAGTTACGACACACTCCAGTGGCAATGTTCTCCTTTCTAAACACTGGCTTAGCCCCTTTTTGTAGCCATTCAAATACTTTAATTTTTAATAAGGAAAAATAACCAGTCTAACCTGTCAGATGTCTGTAGGAGTGTAGTGGAGCAATTAATAATGCTGCAATATTAAAACGGACAAATAAGGGTCAGGACTGTTTCTTCAGCACAATGTATTCTCATGTTCTTATGATAAACCCCTCAGAAAAGTTTTTGCATATAATCCTGCAAAAAGTCCAGCAATACAAAACAATGTCCAAAACAATCAGTGCAGCGACATTCTCAAGGCAAAGATATAAAATGGCTTTGTTTTCGAATTTTGGTTCAGTGAATTTGTACAATCTTTAGTTAATTAGCTATTATGAAGACGTTCAGCTGAGTGTAGGGAGGATGTCGTTCACAGATAGAGTTACGTTGGAAACCACGATTGAAGCTTTGCCTCTCAGTGGTATTAAAGGATGTCCCCCTTCCTGCCGCTTTACTTCATAGGAAAAATTACCACAGAATTGGAGACGTGTGGTTTAAGTCCACACAGCTGCACATGAACAAATAGAAACATCATCATGCAGAGCTTCCATTTATGTTTGTTGTTGAATATTTTATGCTAACATTCTTGAGTTTCATGGGCTTTGAGTTCATGGCTCCTAGCAACCACCAGCTTCTGTGTCTAAAATTTACGTTGACTGATCCGTAAAGCACCATCGCATATCCTTCTAACATGAATACGTCAGATGTGTAAAATAAATCTCAACGCAATGCATGGTGATTTTTAAGTTCATGGAAAGTATAATGAAAACCATCACATTTGCATACCATGCATGTGCACTGTATATACCCCATTAAGGCAATAACATTTTTACATAGTTATAATGACATTTCATAATGAGTTTTCAAAATCGACCCTGCAGTGTAATCTACTTCTATTCACGTATTTACGAAAACAAGTTTCAATAGAATATGTCAAAACAGACTAAATGCACAATTTCATGGTAGTAACGGAAATGTTTTTGTCTGCAACTATACTTCCTCATGTTGATTGGTTGCAAAAAGGTTTTAAAAGTCGTTGATCTTAAAACCTGTAACAATGGAATTGTTCTTTTTCTAAACTGAACACAGCTGCTGTCCAAGGAGCTACACCGTTTTTACAGCTTCAGTATTTGATAGTTAAAGCCTCAGTTTTCTGTGGAGTTTTCTTTTAAACATATAGAAAATAACACTTTAATCTCAAGCAAGTAACTGCACTGTCACTTTTAGCCACGTTTCAGGGTGAGACTCGATCGCAGCCCTGCTTGTATTGCCCAGCAAAGTGTACATGAGGACTTTAGCATGACTTAAAAGCACAACTCATTTCCGATCAGGCTACAGCTACTGTATCCAGAGGCCCTCCTCACCTCATAAAAATATGTGAGGAACTGCGTTTATACAGTTTACTGTGTATCTGTGTGCTACAACTGTAGATCTTATCAGAACTTTTTTGGGCCCTATTCAGTCAAGTTTTACAACATTTTTCTAAACTCACACCTCAAAATCATCATGTACTTGCATAAGTAAAACGTCTACTTTAAACTGCTTGTCAAACATTTTCATAGGTATTTATACTGTACAAATTTTGGCCTTTTTTGTGTATTGCTCATATACTGTATGTGTGATGCTGCTTCTTTACTGCTGATATAAGTATTACATTTTATACGGAGGCCTGTAATCATATTTAAATCATGACTAACAGGCCTTATTCATGTTTATACATACGTTATTCATATTTAAATCATGAACGACAGGCCTGTATTTTTTTATGTGACTGGTTAGATAACAATGTATGTTTAATGTGTGCAAGATGTTTTAAAGTAGACCTGGTGATCAAGGACACTCCGTAGCATTTTTCTGCCAAATTGGACATATTGTGAAGTGTAGCATCACTCAGTTGGCTGAGACTTAACCCAGAAAAGCTGGTATATTCAGTTTGACTGAATAGGGTCCCTCAGTGAGGGGAGAACTGGTCTGATAGATTTTGTACTCTTGTGTATTGTTGTATAATTGTGGGGACCCCGTACAGCAGCGGGGATGTTGGGTTGCACAATGTAGCACTGATCTCAAGTCTGACCTCAGACTGGAGCAACACCAGACTGAAGCAGATCAGGCAGGAACAGTCTTTTTATATGGCTATGTAAATATATATATATAGATATATATTCTGTATATACTGTAGTAGGTTTTCTGGAAAGTTGATTTGCAGCAAACTGCTGGGCCTCTGTGACTCCTGAAACACAAGGCAGGGCCTTTCATTTATTTATCACGACAAGATGTCAACTCTATCTCACACCCACACATATACTGTGCATCCAGTACATGTATTTGTATATGAAACATGCATGACACTTACATACCAAGGTCAAGGTTGAGTGAAGATTAAGGATGTCTTGCTCGTCTTCTCAGAAAAACTTACATAGTTTTTATATAACTGTCATTACCTTTGCATTCAGGGTTTCTCAGCCTTTTTATTACACACTATACACATGTAGAAAATGGCCCAAACTAAAATCCCTGCCAAGGTGTTTTAATTTGCATGTTGAATCCTGGAGAATGTTTACATGTAAATGTGCACCAGGATCCAGAACAAAATACACACAGTGATAGACAATTGCAATACACATGAATCTATTTAGTTGGAACTGCAATGGATCATGAGTTACAAAAGTAGAAATACACAAATGTTGAGAACATTTTTAAAAAGTAAATTCTCGTGGATGAGGATCCACCAAAAACAAAACAAAGCTGAGATAATGGACTAACCCAAGACCAACCACCATTATTCACGGAGGCTTCTCCACCTTTCCTTTCTCACATACCTACAGTTTACAACAATGGTAGCAGCTATATAATCTAAATTCATGGTAATTTTCAAATCAGTAGGTCATTGATTTAAACAGATATTAGTGTTATGGTTTGTTTTAAAAAAGGCTCCTATGGCCGAAGCTTTAATACTTACAGCTGACTTGATGGTGGATTAAATAAATAAAAAACAGGTCCACAAAATGCTGATTATCCATGTAGCTAATATGGAAATAAACATTATTGTGACAAGAGAAGCGTAGCTCCTTTGAGGAATAGCCGTAGGCGTAGACTGTGTGCGTAGTGATTGTGCGAGCGAGGCAGTGTCCTGTGTATGGAGTTAAGCTGTGTCGGTGAATAAAAGCTACTCCTCGAGACCCATGCCGAGCTTCAGCATCTTGCTTGCCACCTGCTGAGGAAAAAGAGTGAGGGAGTTATCCCTGAAGTCAGCTTACTTCAGCCCTGTGGAGAGGAACATTAGTCTCCCCTGGGCTCCCGACCACGGTTGGGATGCAGAACTAGGAAAAGGTTAACACTATGCTTGTTTTTCACTGTCGGCCTATTCAATACTAGTTCAAGAAATAAAGATAACAAAAATGAAAAGTTAACAGTTGTTCTG